ATATATATATATATATATATATATATATATATATATATATATATATAAATTAATAACTTTAAGTTCTTTTAAATAGAGAGTTATTCAACTTCTTTCATTCAATTATGCCAATTTTAGCTATATTGTTTCCAAGCAGCACTCTTGATTTATTGAGTCATCTCTCTAATTTAATCTCAAGATTCAGTTTGATGTTAAAACTAAACTAAATCTCAGTTGATTAAAAACTTCAACAGTAAGATGTGATCAAATTGCGCCCCAGTTTATTAAAACAGTACCAGCAGTTGAAGTTTAACTTATTTTTATAATAACAAAGTCCATGCTTAATAATCCAGGTATTGAGCATGGACTTTGTTGTTTTCAACCAGTTTGACAAGACTGTCGACAAGGAAGAGGGCCGGCAATGGAGGAGGGGCGTACCAAAGAGAACATCTTATCACAAGCAGAACTGGTTTGTTCCACTTTGGAGTAAGCTGTTGGAGGAAGAATCAGTTTTGTTGTGTGTTTCCTTGACTGATGAAGCCTTCTGGATCGAAGGCGAAACATTTCAGCACAAAAAAAAGAAACTGTCCAGATGACCTGACTGAAAAATGTTGGATTCTTTTTGCTCACCACTGAAAGCAGTGATGTTTTACCCATGCCTGTCTGAGTTAACAAAATATGTCATAAACCTCAAAATGGATTTTAATAAAACTCCCAGAACGTAATGATTGGATGTACGTCTGCAGCTTTTTAAAGTTTGAGTTTAACTCAATTCAAGATGACTGCCAAAGCCAGCCGACTAAATACAACCACAAAATGTCACTTTGACCAACTTTGGGTTCTAAATTGGTGTCGTAGTAGCTGCGAGTCATTCCCAACACATACTCTGAGCACGACAATATCACAAACATTTTCAAGGTTCGTCGGCTACGACTCCTTTCTCACGCAGCTCTGGCCTGAAGAAGGCGGGCGATGTGATTCCTTCATGAGATGACAGGTCGTGTTTGCTTTCACTCTAAAAATGGACAGTTTTAGCCAATAATCTGTTGATTACTCAGTGAAGCTGAAACCTCCAAACTGAACTAAACTTATTTTTGCACCTGTGACTAATTCTCTCACTTCATTAGCTTGTAAACCAGGAAGTGGCTACATTAATTCATTCTGTTTGGAGTGGTCTGACGGTCTTCCTGTGTTTACAGGTTCACATTGAAATCCACTGAGACCCCCGCACCTGCAGTTTGGACGTATATAAATGACCAGCGAGCGCTGCCATGTCCCCGCCATCAAAAGACACCGGCTGGCTCAGCGATGGCCAAGATGAGGACACTTAATCCTGCGAACTGGTGGGACGACTCAATAAAACTACACCACTGATTGTTTCTGTCATCACTCAGACCCCGGTGCCTTTGAGCGTGCAGGGATGTGTGCAGATGTGAGAGGAGAACGAGGAGATCCAGCTGCTGTTTTACATCCACAGCATGAAGTTCATCTGGACTCTGGGGATTGTTGCCGTCAAACGTTGTGGCAACTCTTTGTCCCTCTTATTTGGTCCATCTCAACCAAAACCTGGATGAAATTCACTTTATAGAAAAGGAAATCTCTCCCCCTGACGTGAACAAAATGATTTTGTTTCCGTCGTCAGCGGTTCAGACATTTTGAGGTAACCGATCCAAACGGTACCAGCACGGCTGATCCAACTGGAAACCTTCCAAACACAGGAAAAGAAATCTCTGCATGTTTTTGTGTCCTAACGTCACACTGTTAATGCATATGTGTAGCACTAATATTTGTAAAAACAAACAGATCAGATTTTTTTTTCATCTGAAATTGTCTCAAGGTTGAGAAAAAAATGGAGTGTTTGGAGTTTTGTAGTCTTCAAACTGACAATGAATTTAACCTGGAAGGAATAAATGAATAATTAAAACAAAATCCCAATTCTTTGTTGTTTCTAAAGTATAATATTTTCATTTATGACCCTGACATTTCTCTGACTGTTCACATTTATTGCAGCTATTTATTTATTTAATTTTTTTACGGTACAGTAAGTACTGACTGACTGAAACTTTGAATGACAACACAACCTGCATACAGTTTTTATTCTGACAGCAGCATTTATTCTTTGTGACAAATATAATCATGCCACAAAAATAATTTCTAAGTATTAAGTTGAGATCTGGTGACCGCAGGACTCTAATCACACGTGGACAAGCTCTGGGAAAACTTTTTACACTCCCTTTGCGTGTGTTTAAATAATTTAAACAGTAAAATTTTGGGAGAAAAATGAATGTTTGCTAAACAAATGCAGTTTGACTGCAAGTGACACAAATTAAAAATAAAAATCACGTTGTCTTTTAAAAGTGAAACGATCGCACTTCTAAAAACAGATGCCAGATTTTAACGAGTCAAATCTGTATTCTCCAATCTGGTTCCATTCATGTTACAAAACATGGATCTTAGGGAATTTAAACTGGAGTCATGATGAGATTAAATCAACCTTTTAACCTTTTAGATCCGACTGATTGTGATACTGATTGTGCATTTTACAGATGTGTTAATGATTCCACATTACTTAGATAAAGTTCGTAAAATAAACATGTTGATGACTCCAGAAAAGCTTTGCTCACCTTCAGATTGATTCTACTAAACCGTGACACCGTTTGGTACAAATGTAACTCTAGCCTCCACTTTCTAAAGTCACTTGAACCTATTTTGTGTCGCAGAAGGCCTGGAAGATTTTTCTGCTCACACCTACAGTCAGTTTTTAATCACCAGGTACCAAAGATGTCTTTGGGCTGAAAACTGGGCACCTAGAAGGGAAAAATGAATAATTTTTAAGCTAAAATGTTCCGATCAAAACTGGTCAGACAAATATTTGATAACTGAGTTATTTTAAACAACTCATTGGACACTACAAATGTGTTTACGAAAGAGTGAAATGTAAAAAGTGAGAGACATTTCTGTTTAATCTTAAGTGCCGCTTCCAGCTACAGAGAATGTGCAGTAACACCGACTGTCCACACGGGGGCAGCAGACTGCTGCTTCCGTGTGGACAGTCGGTGCAGTAACTTATATCTATGCAGTAACTACGATTGTACACACGGGGGAACAGACTGCTGCTTCCGTGTGGACATCCTGATGCATGCTCAATAATCCAGGTAAAAAAATCTAAGAGTTCAATATGGTCTTCTGGACATAAAAAAAAGTAGAAACGTTTCGTCTTTCATCCGAAAGACTTCCTCAGTCTTCTTCAATACAGCACCTCAGACTGAGGAAGTCTTTTGGAAGAAAAAAGAAACGTTTCTACAATTAGTATTATTTTTTTAATGTCCATAGAACCAGATTGAACTTTTTTAGCTTCTGTGTGAACAGTTTGTGCAGTAACGAAGATTGTACATACGGGGGCAGCAAACTGCTGCTTCCGTGTGTACACCCTGACGCATGCTCAGTAATCCAGGTAGAAAAATCTAAAAAAGTTCAAAGTGGTCCTCTGAACATTAAAAAAAAAAAATTGTAGAAACGTTTCGTCTTTCATCCGAAAGACTTCCTCAGTCTTTTTCAATACAGCACCTCAGACTGAGGAAGTCTTTTGGATGAAAGACAAAACGTTTCTACGATTTTTTTTTTTTTTTTTTTTTAATGTCCAGAGGACCAGTTTGAACTTTTTTAGATTTCGTGTGGACAGTTTGTGCAGTAACAACGATTGTCCACACGTGGACAGTTTGTACAGTAACAACGATTGTCCACACGGGGGCAGCACACTGCATCTCCCTTGTGAACAGTTTGTGCAGTAACAACGATCGTCCACACGGGGGCAGCACACTGCATCTCCCTTGTGGACAGTTGGTG